GTCACAGATGGAAATATTTGTAACTTTTTAAAAAACTTTTTCTTTTTTACATTTTATTCCCACATGGAGATCCTGCCAGTAACACACTTCCTGTCCTGGGTGACAATGGTCACGGTGTACTTTATCTCTGGAGCAGTGTTGTCACCCTGGGCCGCTCCTCCTGACTGGACTACAGAACCCCGCCCCGCTGCTCCATTGCACACAATTTTGTGCCGTGATACACGTCAGGGGCAGAGCAGTCAGACCACCCCGGGGACAAGGACATGTCTGACCGATGGCATGGCAAGGGTTAAACATACGTGGAGCGGGCCGTGTTTAGGTCTAAACATGACCGACATTGTGATGATGTTTTATATACATCGTCTGCATTCCGGAACATTCGCACTCCTCTCCAGACAAGGACTGAACGAAGGCCGACCATCGCTGCTCTGATCCGGGTGGTGGGAACACCTGGTAGGGAGCCATGTGAAGGTGCAGCTCAGGTCTGCATGGTATCAGCGAGCGACTAGATTAATGTGGTGACGAGGGCGGCTTGCAGCGCCGGGGTCCTGGGCTCGACTGCCATCAGAGCTTTGCATTGAGAGTCTATAGCAGTGATGGGGAACCGTTCTGAGCCCGAGTGACCAAACTGGATCACTAAAACAACTTGTGCGTCTCAAAGTGCCGACACTGCAACCTCTGCGGGCACTCAGGTGGTCTGTACAGGCTCTAAAGGAGCACTGTGTGGGCTCCCAGGTGGTCTATAAGGGCCCTCATGGGGGCTCTGAGGTGGTCTGTACGGGCCCTCAGGGGGTTATTAATAATCTGCATTTTTAACTACAAATTTTAGGGTTAAAGAAAACAAAAAACAAAAAAAAACAATTGGGGTCAACTAGTCATTTTATTCTGACATCCGCCCCTTTTATAAAAGGCAATTTTTTTTGTTTTTTTTGTGCAATATTTCTATGTTACCAGTACAAATGTGAATGATGGACACAAATTTAAAAAGTTTTATATTATTTTATTATTATTATTTTTTTACATTTAATATATTTATTCTTATTATTTATTTTTTACACATAACAATAATTTATAAATTCATTTACACATAATTCATGAATAAAAAGAGTACAATAGTAACTATTCATAAAGAGATAAATACAGAGCAGGATCCGAGCTGCAGATTACACAGGGAGAATGCGGCTCTCCCTGTGTCATCATCGGAGCTCTGAGACGGCCGGGCGCTGTGCTCGGTTCACAATGAACACACAGAGCGGGCGGCTGTCACACTGGCAGCAGAGAGAGGTGTCACCGGTTACACAGGGAGAACCCCGATCTCCCGTGTAATCTATCCGTGTGATCGCTCAGTCCTGCAGATTACACAGGGAGAATGCGGCTCTCCCGCTGTCATCACCGGAGCTCTGTGACGGCCGGGCGCTGTGCTCGGTTCACAATGAACACACAGAGCGGGCGGCTGTCACACTGGCAGCAGAGAGAGGTGTCACCGGCTACACAGGGAGAACCCCGATCTCCCCGTGTAATCTATCCGTATGACAGCTCAGTCCTGCACAGCGAAGGAGGCGGCTGGACAATGCAGAGGCAGGAGAGGCTTCCAGCCCAGCAGGGCCCCAAGGCGGCTGCCTCTTCTGCCTTGACCCGGCCCCTGGGGGACACAAACAGACCCTACAAGCCGTGAATGCCACTTTTTGGGGTTCCCGCCTCCCCGGTTTGCTCACCTGGAACCTCTGCACCAGCTGCACGGCCTCGCTGTCGTTCTGGTCGGCCTCGAGAATGACGTCCGTTAGCTTGTGGATGATGACATCCAGCGGGCCCTGGTCCTCGATGGGTTTGGACAAATTAAGCTGAAAGCAGGAGGAAAAAAAAAAATGTCCGTCATGAATCAGAATAAAGAGAACCTGTCGCCCCCAACACAACGAAGGAAGACATTTTTTTTTAAGGCGATTTTAACTCACTTCCTGTCCAGGTGACAACAAAAGGAAATAAAAAGGAAATTTCTCAAAATGGGAACACAGATGAGGGTAAAATTCATCTCCAAAAGTATCCAGAAGATGAAGATAAAAGTGTTACATTGTTCACGACATTCAGAGAAAGATAAACGTCCATCGCGCTCCATCCAGCCATGCAGCTCACATGCGCCGTCTCGTGCAGGCTCTAGTCCGCAACGTTCCGATATGCCCAGGCGGATCGCCGGCCCTCCGACACTCGTAAAGAGCACCTGTCACCGCTGAGATCATGAGAAAGATGCTTCATTGTATCTATTATAATAATCCAAATAATTCTGCATGTCCTGTGTGTTGTATTTTCTTGCATCTTGTCTCCGCCCCCTCCTGTAATAAAGAACGTTCACTGCTGCTCTCTCTCCTTGTGCAAGGTGACTGGTCTTGTCTCCTCCCCCTCCAGTAATAAAGACCAGTCACTGCTGCTCTCTCTCTCCTTGGGCAGGGTGACTGGTCTTGTCTCCTCCCCCTCCAGTAATAAAGACCAGTCACTGCTGCTCTCTCTCTCCTTGGGCAGGGTGACTGGTCTGGTCTCCACCCTTCCTGTAGTGGGTGGGGCCTGCTGGGTCCCTCCCACACCTTTGCTCTGTGCACATTGTCCGTGTGCAGCACAGTGATGATGTCACTGCTAGTTTTCAATGGTAATGGCTGTATTGTACTCCGCAGGACGGGGATCTCCCAGAATTCTTGTGTCTGAGCGGTTTGCAAACATCTGAGTGTGGGTGCAAAAGTGATCCGGGTCAGAACCTGCTTAGGTTTGGCGTTTCCTAGATGGGACTTGTAGTGGGTACCCGCATGCAGCGCGGGCTGAGGCTGCGCCCAGCGGTGGAAGGGTTAATCTCTGACACTGCATAGAAATACGTTTGGGGATGTGGAATTTGGCCACTGAGCGCACTAAGTCCTTCCTGTGAAGGGGATAAGACGCAGGTCAGCGGTGAGTCAAAGAACCAGCTCCCGGCTCCCTATTATGCAAGCACAGAGTGGGGGGGGGGCTCGCCTTCCGCTGGCTGTGTTCTGTTCGGTGTCAAGTGAGGAAAAGCAGGTTAGCAGGATGCCGGAGATCTGGATAATCCAGGATCTGCCATTTAAAGGAGAACTACGCCCCCCGAATCATAAATCCGTGATATGTCGGAGCCGCTGTGTATGGAAATGCCACCAAGACTGGGACCTGGACACCCCCCATGTATGCCGCTCCCCCTCCATGCAGCTTATTGCTCCGACTGAGCGGACGCTTTTCTTTTTATAAAATCCATTCCATCTTTCGATTGGTCGCAAGTTTCCATTGATTGTTACTGAGAAAGCCAATCTGATGGCCAGAAGAATAAAACTAACATCACATCTGGTTTCACCTTCTCTGGTCCCTCCCCATCCCCTGCTCCCCCCTCCCCCCTCAGCAATATGTCAATAATAGTTTTAAATAAAACCTGTTATTTTAGAGTCAGTGATGTCATCACAGCGCCTCTGTGTTTCTTTACGCAATGCAGGCAAAACATGGCTGGTAGGAGGAGCCGGCAGGGCGCTGTACATAGCTTCCTTGCACTCTGTCCTCAGTACTCCTCTCAAGAGCCCTGATGCAAGCAGTGGGAGGAGTTATGAAAAAAATGATTACAGATCTTTATACATCGCCGACAATTTACGCGGCGCTTTACACAGTGCACAGTCATGAGAAGCCGCCCACAGGATGAGCTGTGACGGCCGCACGGCGCCCTTGTTGCCATGGCGCCCTGTGCGGCCGCACGGCTCGCACACCCCTAAGGCCGGCCCTGACAGTCACATCAGTCCCCGCCCTCAAGGAGGTTACAGTGTAAAGGCCCCAATCTCACATACACAGGGCCGGATTAACATAGGGGCTACTGGAGCGCCAGCTCCAGGCCCACCACTGAAAATAGGCCCAGCCAACCCCCGGATCACCTTGGTAGGCCCAATGGCAACCTGGGCCGGCCAGGCTGAGCACAATCAACCAGAGGCACCAGCGGCTGTCTAATCAGCGTGGAGGCCCCCAGGAGCGAGCAGCCGCCTAATCAGAGAGCCGCCTCTGCTGCTTCCAATCCGACCGACAGACAGCAGCGGGCCCATGATGCTCTTAATCCGGCCCTGCACATGAAGACATACGAGGGCCAATTTTAGAAAGAAGCCAAATAACCTAACAGCATGTATTTGGAGTGTGGGAGGAGACCCACACAAGCACAGGGAGAACATGCAAACTCCATGCAGATAGTGACCTGGCCGGGATTTGTACCGGGGACCCCCTTGGCTTGATGGGCGGGTGTCAGTCTGGAGGAGTGGGGGGGCGTTCCTAGGCTGTATTTTCATAGGTAACACACCCACATGTGATGCTGAGCCTCAATGATTGATAAAACTGAAATCCAATGAATGAAAGGGGGCGTGGCCAGTAAACAGTCAGGCTGGGGAGGAAAGGCTAGATGATACTGGATGTCCTCCAGCCAGGAAATGAGGCGGAGCTCTATCTGACTTGCTGCAGCTTCTGATGCACATTGTGAGAAGCCATGAGAATGTCCATGAGGGTTACATTGGATCAGGTCACAGATTCCAGCTGATGTCACCTCCGGTGGTGGATGGTGAAAGGGGTAACAATGTGTCAGGATGTGTCCCCACGTATGGCACACCCCCCAAGCTGTGTATTACCCAATGTCGTCCTGATCAGCAGCCGATCACATTTGTCCCCTGACTCTCCGTTCAGATATTACTCGCCCTTGAAATCGGCTCATATTTTCCCTTCCCCCGATCCCTCCACATTAACATACTAATGAAATCTGTAACCAAAACCTTTCAGTTTCTTATTTTGGGCCCAATGATGGCATTGCTGGGTCTCTGTGCTTATCTATGCAATGGAGGCAGGTCACGGCTGATGGGAGGAGCCGGCAGGGTGCTGTACATAGCTTCCTTGCATCCCGACTCAGTACTCCTCTCAGGAGCCCTGATGCAAGCAGTGTGCCGGCTCTTAGGAGGAGTTATGCAAATATCAAAATGCCTTGATGGGCGGGTGTATGTCTGAAGTGGGCCTTCCTAGGCAGTCCTCATTTGCATACAGACCGCCCCAGGTAATGCGGAGCCTCCATGACTGAAAGAACTTAACTCCAATGAATGAAAGGGGCGGGGCCAGGGACAGTCCGGCTGGTGAGGAAAGACTAGGTGATGCTGAGGTTGCCCTCCCCTGGGTTGGAGTCTTGCAATGCCTCATGGAACTTGTAGTTCCACAACAGCTGGAGTGCCGAGGTTGCCCTCCCCTGGGTTGGAGTCTTGCAATGCCTCATGGGACTTGTAGTTCCACAACAGCTGGAGTGCCGGGGTTGCCCTCACCTGGGGTCAGAGCTTCTATGCAATGGGGGAATTCCCCTCCATGGCACAGAGACGTCAATGAAAACCTGCCGGCTCTTAACCCTTTCCTTACTTTTGGCTTTAGCACTCTTTAATCCTCCTGGCCCGCAGCCGTCCGCCGGGATACACAGAGCGCTGGCAGAGCCGACGCTGCGAAAGGCGCAGTGAAGCGAGTTATGACAGAGCAATTAATCCGTTCTTGTTTGATGCCAAGAATCCGGCGGATTAAAGTCTCCCGCAAGAAGCCGGCGGAGGAAGGTTGCATCAACGGCACATGTGTTGGCTTTGCCGGGGGCCGCGCGCCCGGGCTCAGCGTCCTCGTGTAATAACAGTTCTGGCGGCTTCCCGGGGTTTTATCACCTATGTGGCTGAGCTGCTTTCACCGCCCCGCCATTAAAGGGCACCGCCAACCTGCGCAATGATCAAGCTCACTGCTGCTCTCCCTCTGCTTGTGCAGGGTGACTGGTCTTGTCTCTGCCCCCTCCTGTAATAAAGACCGCTCACTGCTGCTCTCTCTCCTTGTGCAGGGTGACTGGTCTTGCCTCCGCCCCCTCCTGTAATAAAGACCGTTCACTGCTGCTCTCTCTCCTTGTGCAGGGTGACTGGTCTTGCCTCCGCCCCCTACTGTAATAAAGACTGTTCGATGCTGCTCTCCCTCTGCTTGTGCAGGATGACTGGTCTTGTCTCCTCCCCTCCTGTAATAAAGACCATTCACTGCTGCTCTCTCTCCTTGTGCAGGGTGACTGGTCTCGTCTCCGCCCCTCCTGTAATAAAGACCGCTCACTGCTGCTCTCTCTCCTTGTGCAGGTGACTGGTCTTGTCTCCGCCCCCTCCTGTAATAAAGAATGCTCACTGCTGCTTTCTCTCTCCTTGTGCAGGTGACTGGTCTTGTCTCCGCCCCCTCCTGTAATAAAGACCGCTCACTACTGCTCTAGCGCCTTGTGCAGGGTGACTGGTCTGGTCTCCCCAATGCACACCTCTTTGCACAGGCTACTATGGGCCGAGGGAAATACCATCACTGGAGCGGAGGGGCAGAGGCCGCAGGGATCAGTCTAGCAACCAAGGATCAGGAATATCTTTTTTATTTCACCCTTACAGTGCTGCTGTGGCCCCTCGGCAAGGGTAAGTTTTATTCTACCGGGAGTTCTCCTTTAACAGTCTGCTCCCACTGTGATTGGCTAAGTGGCGGCCATTCTGAGCGGGATTTCAGCTCGGCAGGCCCTCGGGGGAAAGGGTTAACGTCTCCGGGCGGTTGAATTGGTGATTAATTCTAAAGCAAAAATCAGGAACCTGCAGTCTGAACTTTGGTTTTCGGCTCTGATGTCAAAAGCGCTAATCGCCAGCACCGCCCTGGGCAAGCCTGGGGGGTTTATTGAACGGCAGATAAGAACCCTGGGCATGCTCACCGATCGATGGCCTAACCCCACGGCACTCCGCTAGGAAAGTCCCTTCCAGTCAAAGCTCCACGTCCGCTGCCTGCACAGGTCAGAGGGGTCCCACGGACC